TTTGACTGCACCCAATGACCCCTCTGACACTGAGTTAGTGTTCTCGTGGTACATGTAGCAAATATTAATGTGCAGACACACATTCAAAATGTGTTTTTGTTGTTGGCCTTAGTTTTTTTGCAGAAATCGACCTGCTTTGTATGAGCAGACAGTTCAACTCCATCAGGTATCATTAACTGTTGTTTTTTTGTGTTAACATCGCCTACCAGGGGGGCTGTAGTGCTGCATTAGTATGCACCCTGGGCCAATGAAGATGCAGAGAGCCAGAGAGACGCCTTTATTCTCCCCGTAGCTTCAGCTTGCTGGACTTGTAGCGTGATGCCAACGGTGCATCTCGCTCGACAGTCTCGATGAGTACTTTAAGGCCAGGTGGAAATGACGCGTTCCTGCTAACTCTTCAGTGAGACCATCATGGAGGTTAGATGGGGTCCTCCAGGCGAGGGCGCATCCACAGATGTGACACTGTAATAGGAAGTAGTCCCATTAAGAAGGTCAGACAGATGTCAAGCGGTCCGCCCTTTGGTCACAAGGCTTATCGATTTCAGAAGGCAGGAAAATCCATTTGAGCCAAGGTGTTGTTGCTCAATTTTGGGGGTTTATCTTACAATGATGTGTGCTTCGCATCTAATTCTGAGCTTCTAATGATGTGATCTTTCATTCTGATGAGTTATAATACAGTTAAATGCAATACACTCTAATTACGATGACGTCACTTGATTACGGTGGAGTGTTTGAGGCTTACTGTAGGAGCAGGAGTATCTGTGCACAGTATTTACATGTAGCACTTGGGCGCAACAACCTCAATTTTTACCTGGAAATTGTCAAAACTGTGTTGTTAGTTGTACAAAATAATGTGTGACAATGTTTTATTTTTAAGAGTAGGAAACAAATACTGGCACGCCATTTAATAATAGTAGATCATATTAGCACACATCCATGCTACTTCATTTGGTTTGTAATTAAATAAAAGATAGACAACTTGATGGATATTTAAATACTAGTTTTTGAATGTGGTGATTTCTAAACCCTATTAATGGTTCTTCCTCTGATTTCAATTACATCCTCAACCCTTTCTGCATTAAAATGACATGTTTGACAAGCTTTTACGCTCATATTTAAATAAGACTCTCATTAAAAAGATTTGAGTTTCTTTAGAAAAACAGCTTAATAGTCCCTACTTTAACAGAATAATTTATTTTAGAAGGAATTCAAAGCTTTTAATGACGCTTTTGTGTTTGAAAAGTTCATCACTGAGCTGAAGCACAATGAAAGTTAAATTCTACAAACATTTTGAATGTTGTGTCTGCATTTCTAGACTAATTTAGCAGATTATGCAGGAATAACAACCTGCATTCTAGTGATATGGATCACTGTACACACTCATTTGGCTTCATCACCATCGTGGGAAATAAATCCTCCGTAGAAGATGCAGGCAGCCGGTTGTCGCTGCTGCAGGCAGCAGGTCGGGACGGATTATGTAAACTGCACGAGTCCTTTAGATGCTGTTTAGTTTCCACTAAGTGTCTCTTAAAAATCTCCAGGCGGTTACGTTTTTTTTCCCAGAGAAATCGTGGAAAACAGTTACATGATTTGGGCTTTAGAATTCTGTGGGTTGTGTTTTGCTCAAAGAACCCTCACGCACGTTGTTTACCGAGAAAGAACAAGGATGACATTAAATGAAGCTTAGGCGAAAATTCAGTCAGGAAGACTGGACAGGCTGTGCCGTTCCCTGGGGGCCTCCTCTCTCCCTGGGGGGGCACGGCCAGCTGATTAGGGGCGGGGTCGGGAAGTATCAGACGGGTGTCGTTACTGTAAACCAATCGCATTGGCGCAGGCAAACGTTAAAAACTGTTCTCCTCTCTTTTGCTTGTCTTTGGACTGTGGGAGGAGAGAACTCACGCAGACACGGGAGGAACGTACAGCCTCCGCATAGGACGGCCACCGTGCCGCCTCACTTCATGGTACACAAATTCAACATCGGTATAACTGTATAAAGCAGCAGGACAATATCCTGAGATCAATGTCACACTTAATACTCAGCATCAATATTAGTAGCATCAGTCAACACATCGGTCAAATTATGCATGGATAATTATTATATAACACACTACATACACTACATTAATGTCTTGTTGTAACGGCAGCATTAAAGCAATTAAAGCAATTGATTGCATGTGTAAAATTGCAATTGCAAAGAAAAATTGGCAATTCTAATGATGTAACAGCTTAAATTATTGGCTACCTCAAGTGCTCCTTGAATTGCTTTTCACCATTATGTTTTTTGACAATATTACCAAGCAGTTATAAGCCGTTTCAGAAACTGTGAAACAAGGCAATGAAAAACAATTATGAACACCCACATTCACTGTATCCGGTGTGACTGAGCAGGATGTGACCCCCTGTGAAGTGGTGATTGGCCTTTTTTACACCTTTATGTTCGGTGCCTGTTGGACAGAGCCCGGCCAGGTGCGTCCCCCTGTCTCTGAAGAGGGGAAACAGCTGAAACATACTAACTTAACCAATGGTGTTGATCTGTCCCCCCAGTGAGCACATTTCCTCACATTTCATACTATTCCTCTAAAGGAATATTTGATTCGCCATTTCTACCGTGGGGCATTAGCAACTGCTTTTTATCTCCTTGAAGATTTGGGACACCGAAAGCTGTTCTTTTCGTCTTCTGAGGGAAGCATTTAGCTCGGCCAGTGAATTTAGCCTGTCACCGCCCCTCAGTGCCTCTGCTCCAAACACCACGCTGTCTGAGATGTTGAATTAATTCAACCTATTCTGTGTTTGATGGCAATAATGTGTTTGCACATTAAGTTGATTTCATTTGGCATGCTGGAGAACAGGACATGCAGGAGTGTTGACAGATGAACACGGCGTGGTATGTGCATGTGTGTGTGTGTGTGTGTGTGTGTGTGTGCATGCGTAAGCTGAGAGAGTCTTCTTCATGTTACACGCGGAGCCGCGGTAGATTAGGTTGCTTCGACCGAGAGTGTGTGCACCCAGGGGACTGTGGTCTGCTCGAGGTGCCGGATAACAGGACCCCTCACACACAGCTAACGAGCTCCGACCACCCGACCGATGAGGATCGGCCATTAACCAAATCGATGAACGCGGCCACTCGTCTCCCTTCTGCGTTCGTACGTCATGCTAATTTTAGAAAAATCACCACAACTGGGAGCTCAGAAGATTGGGGCTTCTGTCCCCAGCTCCTCCCGTCCACGTTGAGGTGTCCTTGGGCACCAACACTTCACCGCAAGTAGGTGCCGAAGGCCGTGCTGTCGGCGTGAGATCGAACGTGAGCTAATAGGCAGGTCTGAGGCGCAGATCGCACTTGGGTGCGAATGGGTGAATGACGAACGACGTTAGAGGGATTTAAGTGGCTTGAAGACGAGCGAGGCGCTTTGCAACCACGTGTCCATCCACCATCACAGTGCATTCAATAGAGGCACTAACTTTTACAACTTGTACGTTGATTAGGACTCCAAATTGTATTTACTGTCGTCATTGAATATATTTTGTTTATTTGTTCAACTGGGAGAAATTGATGCTAACAATGTTCTTTTTAGGGAGACAACACACATTATCATTCTAACATATAGAAAAACACATAAAGAACATATTTGGATCTCTTGGTTCCAACATTGATTTCCCCACTGTTTTCATGTGTAACTGGCCAAGAGGTCAATGTACACACTGGTTGACCTTAGAAACAATAAATCAATGTTTGCATGAGCTGCTCCAGAGACTGACGCTGCCCATGCACGCTGTCTCAGTGTTTTTCAGTGTTCAATAGTGAAACCCAGTTAGCAAATGGTATAAGCACCAAAATATTTTTGATACCACATTTGTTATTAATTCCAAACCGCCAAAGGAAGATGTTTAACTTTAATAAATGTCATACATTTTGTGCTTTCTTTGACACACATGTTGATGCTGATGTTACCTGTCTGGATTTAGCTTATAATAAACTATAAATAGATGAGTGTTTAAAACCAAAACACTGATCTAATCCCTTGCACATGTTTTTACACTGTAAACTATTTTAGTTGTATTTGTGTCCGCTGCAGTAAAACGTATAGAATTTGAGTAGCTCCAGGAGATGGGGAGATATATGGATGCGGATGAAAGCCTGTCCTGTCTATTTTGTCCACATCAAGACACGAGCCCAGTTCAGAAGCCTCAAGGAGAAAATATAACTACTACATTCTTTTACTCATCATGTGGTGCAGAGAAAAGATGCCATTTAGAGCACTTGCTTTTCTCACTAACCGAGGACACTAATGGGTGCTGCTCAACTACATCCTGTGTGACTTCTGAAGCAAACAAATAGTTTCATACCTTTCTTACCTTAATTACAGGCTAATGAAGAAGCAGTTAAGTAATCGAAAGTGAGGATCTGTAAAAGCTTGCACTCCCTCATGTTTTCATACAGTTAAAATGTGCTTAATGAGAGATCTGTGCTGCTCATAAATATATCTTTCAAAACAAAGAACACAATGTTTGACAAGAGCAGAGACTAGGTATTAAATTACATATTTTCTTCCGTATGTGGTTTACAATAGAAAAACTGATCACAGGGATAAAACCATGGTTTTAGCAATTTCTTCAGAGTCATCGGAGCACCATCCATTGGTCGGTTTTAGTAAGTCACACATCAGACACATCCCTCCTGATTATAGAAGAAAAGGTTGTGACGACATCGAGCTATTCGATCAAATCAAAAAGCAGCCCTTTAAGATGCAACTAACGTTTTGCTAAGTCAATGTGAGCTGAACTATGCAGTGTCTCCTCGCCAACAAAATGACCAGTATATGGAATGAAAAGGCTCCTGACCCCGGGGGACAAAATACATAGTTGCCTCTTTTATTAAGCCAGTCTGACATTCAGCCCAGTCTCTGCAGCCAACGATCACCAACACGCAGAGAATATCAATCAGCACGTTCTTACTTTTTGAACATCATGAATGTGCACCGATACAAAAGACAAGAGTCCGGTTAAATTACTCTTTCACATACATTGTAATTTATTCTTTCACCATTTGGACAAAGTTATAAGCAGACACAATATATGATGAACAGCATACATGTGAACACAGTCAGTTCTTACTGATTGGTTCCTCACAGCGAGAGTACTGTACATAACCACCTTTTAAAAGAAAACGAGAGGGAGCACTGGCCTCCTATTGAATACATTCAGACAGAACCACTTTGGTCCAGAAAGGGGAGTGACCCAAGCCGCTGGCCTCAGAAACATACATAGTTATGGTCAAAGCTTGAAATACATGTACTCGTTTGAAATAAAATTAGCAATATATACTATGACAAAACATATATACTCTACTGATAATAATTTTACTCAAGGTGCATAACGTTCCTTTGTTACTGAGTCAGTATCTCGGCATTTCTCCTGCCCTGGAAAATGAGAAAAACAGTGTAAATTCACCTTTTGGGCAACAGCAGCGCCAGTGTGTGAACGCAGCCAGCTCAGTTCTGAGTAATGGATATCTGCCTCCTCTATTACAATCCTTAGCAGACGCTGATGAAAATGGCCCGAAACTGACTCAACGCGTTAATGTCAATGCACAGGGCTTTTACCCGGACGACAAACCGGCTAATGTCTCGCTCTAATTTAGCTCTGAAACTACAAAATGACACTGAGTCGCTTCCATAATGAAATGCGTAGCTGTACTTATGCCTTTATATAGGCATGACTTGTGGGAACGTCATGTGGTGCCGTACTGTATATGTTAGAGGGGGACTCATAACAGCCGCTGTGCTCTGTGGGAACACAGATGTTTAACTGGCCGCAGCTGATGATTCATCCAACATCCACAAATGTGGATTACTGTAACTATACCCATTTATACCCAACAGGAAAGAATGTACATATCCAAGTACAATATCAACAAGAATCCAATAAATCACCTGTTTAACACATATATCTATTTATATACATCATTTAACAATTTTAAATTAACATTGTACAAATAGTCATACATACAAAGCCAGTTTGAGTTAATTCAGGCAAAAGCTTGGGCAGCTTTCTGATGGAGGATTCCTACCTTTAAAAAGAAAGCAATATATAAAAAAGAAAATGTACCGCTGTAAAATGTAGCTTTCTTTGCCATTAGAGGTTTTGTTCTGCTTTCAGAGGACAGAGTTTTGTTCTATTTGTCTGAATATTAAACACTGTAGAGTAACGGCATGCATCATTAACACAAGCTTTCAGATTTCCTGGCATTTGCACATGGGATTATACAAATATGCAAAATCATCATGAAACTTTATTTAGACTTTAAAAAAACACCTTTGTGCAAGAGTTGACGTGTTCCTTTGAGTCCCAGTGGTGGAGTCATACTTTATGCATGCGTGGCTTCACAGTTAACGTCTGTTTGCCGTGTATTTTTAATCCTTGATCTGAGTGCACGCTTTGTCAGCTGTCGGCTTTGAGTGGGCTACCGTGTAGAACTTCATATAAATAAGGCCAGGGCGTATGAGTAAGACAACATCTTGATAGCAAGAGGGGGGGGGGGCTAATTTAAAGGCACAGAACTGCAATTATTTCCTTTGAAAACACAACTGGCATAAAAACAGTCACAACTCTACAATCGGCTCCAAGGTATAAAAAAAAAAAACATACTTCTTAAAACACTTAATTGAACAATGATCAGGTAAACATATTTAAAACTGGCCCCATGGCGTCTCTTTACCTCTTTAAATGTCTATATATAGCCAGGAATTAGCTAGCGAGAGCAGCTGCCAATTGCCAATGTGCTCTGAATGGGGTCTGTGGTCCACTTAAGCTTCATCCAGCAGAATGTTTCTTCTTTTTCTGTACATTTCCATCAAAGTCGTCGCGGACAAGAAACCATTTACAGATAACGGAGCGAAGCGGGGGGAAAGAAGGAGGGGAAAAAAAACCTTTGTTCCCTAAAATCTTGTTTTAAATGATTTGTTTGGTCTTTTTTGTGTCGGCAGTTCAATGTCCAGTTTTTCTTAAGCCGCCTGTACCGCAGAACACACATTTGATACACAGCACAAAGTACAGCAGCGGCTCGAGCTATGACCCTGTTTCTTTTCTTCTTCTTTTTTTGTTTTGTTGCAATTTGAGGTTGACGTGTTTTATTCTTTTGTCATTATTTCACATGGCTTATCTGCCTTGAAACGCCGGATTGCTTCAAAGCGCAGCAGTTAATTCTGCCGTCCGACAAACATCTACAGGAATCCATTCGCGAGGCCCAAAGCACAGAAGCGGCGACTCCTCAGCGTGGGAGTCTGCCGCGTTGTCCTCCGGTCTCCGTGGCTGTGGAGAGGGCTGAGGGCCCCGCTTGGCGTTCCAGGCGACATCCTTCTTCAGACAAGGGCCCACAGCAAACTAACAGCTCTTCACAGCCACCCGGAGCAGCGCGTCGGACGAGAGGCCCGAGGCTGCTTTCCTCATAAAGTTCACGTTCCCGCCACCTCTCACAGGTGGCTCTCCACGTTCTCCCTCTGACCCTCGTAGCGCTGCGCCTTGTCCGTGAGGCTGACGTCCTCCAGCAGGGCGCAGTTGCTGACGGTTCCCTCGTGAGTAGGCGAGGCGCACTGACTCGCCCCTTTGCCGCTGGCCGCGCCGTTGTCGCATCCGGCCACGAGCATGCGCGTCTCCTCGGGGCTGCAGATGGGGGACGAGCTTTTGCCGATGTCCGGGAGATGAGGCAGCCGGGAGACGTGGTTCAGCAGGCTGGCTGTCTTGGTGTTGTGCGTGTTGCTGTAGGTGTGGCGGTACTCCTCCTCGATGTTCCTACCGAGCTTCCAGCGCTTCCACTTCTTCAGGATCTCGGACTGCACCTGAAGGACGGGCGGAGACGAAAGCCAAACGTCGTTAATGAGATTACTGGGGGGAAAGTCTCGCTTTTTGTGAAGATGCTTTTGTCGCAAAAAAACAAAAAGACTCACTTCCTTGTTGACGAAGCAGTACAAGATGGCCACCAAGAGACCCTGTGGAGACGAGCAACACTGAGTCAGTCCCCGATCATGAACTCATGACGGCTACAATATTCACTCACACATTACTTTGACTATCTAATGTGTTGCCATGCAACACTTGACACGATGACAGCCGAGCGTTTTTGCTGTTAATTTGGTGTAGAGTGAATTATGACTTCTTTATTTAATTAGCTGTAGGAGCAGTAGCAGCTTTTTTTCCCCCCGTGTGGTCCCTATGCCCTTTAAATGATCCCAATTGATGAATCCTCTCATCAATTGGGATCATTTAAATAGAGGATTTGGATTTGGTCACCTGGAAGGAGGAGAAAAAAAGGTCGCTGAAGAGCTTGGTGAGACGCAGGGAGATGGTGGCCTTTGTGGACTCGTCCGTGACGAAGATGAAGACCACCTGATGGATGCCCAGCAGAGGAATCAGGGTTAGAGTCGACTTGGCCAACCTGAGATGGACGGGAAGGAGAGACGAGGGGAGAAGAAGGAGAAAGTGAGTGAAGGGAATTTTCTGATGGGGAAAAAACAAAACCGTTCACTTTTGAACTCACCTGAATTTGTAATCTGTGTATCGCATTTGGTGCGCTCGAAGTTTCGACACAAGGATTTTGATGATGTGGATGAAGATAAGGAAGTTGATCTGAAAAAGACGGAGACTTGTGGTGTTCACATTAATCCTGTCATTGCATAAATAAAGGTTTTCTGTGCAAAGCTTTTGAAAATGTGTCTTTCGGAATATTTGGCCTCCGCGAGTTTGTATAGTTTGGAAATTTTGTTTATGCTGCATTGAAAAATTACATTTGAAAAATTCAACAGCGCCGTGTTTCTCCAGAAGCAAATCCACATACCTCCACGTACTGTATATACAAAGAAAGAAAAACGTAAAAATCACAACTAAAAAAACCCACATTGTTTGCTCTTTCTCGCTATTGATATTAAAGTGCAGTGATATCAGGGAACCTTTTCATAGCAGCTGACATTTGAACAAACGGCAGGAGTCCCTCTAATGAAAATCACTCATGATGTGACCTTTACAATTAGATGTTACTGTTAATTTGGGGAAAGTAAAAAGGACATAACGTACACACAGTGCGTCCATATGTCCGAGCATTTTGTAATTGCTTGTTAAAAACGTTTTGCTTTATTCAGTAAAAGGATCAAATGTGAAATTCCTTCCTGACTCCGAATAAGACAAATGCGTACCACTTACAAATGTGGGGTAGAAGAAGTGCAGCTTTCTCCATCTCATCATCCATCAAAATTAGAAGAATGCTGTGGATTTGACTATTGCAAATACTTTATTTCCATACCCTGCAATGCGTACAATATCCAACTTGTCAAATGTTGCTGCTTGGTCAGTGACCCTGAGCTTCATCCATGTATCCCTGCAGCATCTTTATTGGATGGGTCAGGGAGGGCATGTCAGGTTGCGCTGGTTTACATGCATAGAGACTGTTTCAAAATGCCACTAGGAAGTTGGGTTCAGGCAACAAAACCACTTAGGCTGAGGGAATGAGCGCGATGGCTGTTGAATAACTAATGACTCACATCGCTGCCAAGTGACTAACCGGCGAGTGATGCGACAAAATGTCAACGCATGCTTTTAGTTTCAGACGGGATCTCCTGCACCAAAGTCCCGTGTTTGTTTGAACCACTCAACCATTCAAAACCGAACCGTCTGACAATAACTACACCACATGTTCTTGCAGATGCATACACATGCACCTTGGTGGGTTCAAGGTAAAAAGGGAAACACTGGAATGGGAGGCAGCCCCCCCCCCCTCCCCCACCCACCGCCGTCCCTGCGGCAACTCAAACACAGGAATTCCTGTGAGATACAGGCCACTTAGTAGGAAGATTAATGCATGGAACATTCCGGGATGTCTGCGTAGCTGGGCTGACATTAGGACATATCACACTCATACAGAAGTTCAGCAGAGGACACCTTCTAACGAAGGCCTGGCCACAGCATAGATAAGGGTCAAAAGTCTTATTTCTCTAACCCAAAAACCTTTGACTCTTAGGATGTTCTCCAGATGTTTGGCCTAAAGCAGACACTGACTTTTACATTTCAGGAATAAATGAGGTGTCAAATATGAAATAGTGTATGAATGGGGAAAAAACCCAAAATGATTTTAGAGTGAATGCACTTTTCTTTGTCATTGCAAGAATACATAGTAAAACCTGTATGACACTTTGGATTCAATTTAGTTATCGCCATACGATAATGAGAAAAGAGTGGATGTAATGGTTTAATAATACAGAGAGCAAGGAAGGAAAAATTACCACAACTGCCAACAGTATCGGGGAGCGGATGATCCACCAATAATTCATGTTTATATTCTGGCCCCAGCACCTAAAATAAAATCACAGAAAAAAGCTCAGTGTAGACAATTGGAAACACCTCACATGCTTTCAAACAGGGCCCCCTCTGAAACACGCGGCACTACCCTGTTCCACAAAATACAAAGCTTCCCTCCACCTGCTGATAAAGAGTGACGGCACCATGGTGGGATTTTAAAACTTTACATAACATCAAACTGTGTTGGCGGTTTAGAAAGTGGCGGTTTAAGAGTGCACGCCAGATCCTAAGTCACGGTACATGAAATATTAAAGCGATTCCAACACTGCTGTTTTGACGCTGTTTCCTGCAGAAGATGGGGAAAAATGCTTGAGTGAAAAGTTCAGGTGCAGCCAACTCCTCATGTGGTAATTCAGGGTTAAATTGGCCGCAAGTTGGTGAGTATAAACATTCAAATGTTTAAGAGAAAGACCGGCTGCCGGATTTCTTTCCGTCAACACAGGGGAGCAAAATGTTTGGCAGGTTCCGATGGCAGCCACACATGGAAGGAGTTATTGAACAGAGAGAGGAAGTATTGTGGGAACTTACTCTTGATTTTCATATAGGTATTTAGCCATCACCCAGGGCACAAGGAATATTAACGGGGTACCTGTGAAGAAATGAGAGCCGTCCGAATTCAAAACAGACATTTATATATTTAATCATATATTTAATATATCAGCTCTCTTTTAATTTCCCCCCATGCACAACTCATGTGATGCATAACCTTTCACTCTCCTAACCCCAAGCTCACCCCAGCCAATGCACAGGTAGATTTTGAAGTAGTTCCTCTCCGTAAACACAGTGATGACCAGGAGGTTGTGGAGGTAGATGCCTTCCACCAGCAGCCAGTAGCTGTTGGCCATGATGCTGTACTGCATCATCACCATGGCGATGCGACAGTTAACCGCTGTCTGGAAGACAGGAGGCAGGTTTATTCCATAAATCAATGAAATATCAAGCAATCTGATGCAAAGCATTTTTGAGTAAGAGAGAGATGAATGAGTGCTGCTGCAGATGGGAGCCCCTTCTGCCGCCAGGATGCAGACTTTTTGCCAACGGCCATGAGATTGCAGCAACTTTAGCTGCCTGTGGCAGCTGTAAGCTCCCGACACTAACGCAACCACGTGGTTCACCCCCCCCCTCCCCTTTACGAATAATTAGCTGCTTAAATTCCCTTGTATGTCCGTTAGCCTTTTCAAAAGAGTATCAAAGGCATTATTAAAGGCATTATCAGCATACCGTTATACACATTTATTATCATAGCTGCACAAATCCAGGCCATTATGTATGTAGCCTACATCTTTGTTGGACCTTATGTAGTATTATTATATACATTACCTGTTGGTCCTGCATTCACCTCACCTTCTCACTTCCCCTGTTTTATGTCACTACAACACCTCAGATCCAGTTTTTTTTCTTTACTTCCCTGCCTTTGTGAATCGGGTTATTTTTTGGTGCTATTTAAATACCATCACCTCATATTGTCTGTCTGTGCATTTGGGGCCTCCCTGTCTGTCCTGTACTTGGTGTTGGATAACCACTGACCTCATTGTTTACCAGCAGCTCCACTGGAGGCATAGATGCCTGAGGAAAGCCCTGCTCTTGGTCACTGCTGAGGTCCTGCGACGTGATGTTGGCCTCCAACAGAGCGTCTTTGATGAGGATAGACAGGGCTCGCAGGATGAAGGAGGCAAACAGATTCATGTGGATGTTGTTCCTCATGCAGTGCAGTTTCCTGTTGAATGAAATGCTATAATTGTCTCTAATTGTCTCAGTAATGACTCTTCTTTTGCCAAATTATCCCCAGATAAACTGAATTGCAATTCAACGTTCTATTTGTAGTGATGAGAGGTTAAGATTTAGGGATAAATGGTTATTCACTCGCTTACCCTATTTTGGATGAGGAGATATTTCAAATATGAATTTGAAGGCAACAACTAGTTATCACAAAGATGGGAAACAACAGCACCTTTTTAAAGCTGACAAATTGTTCTATATTTGTTAAGAAAGCAGGAGAATTTACTTCTTTCATCAGAAGACTGCAGGATTGCAGGATGTTTCATAGACAAGAAATAAATGTAATTTTACACTGTGATGTAATGTTGAATGGTGAGAGAATGACTTGCTGTGCCCAGTATAAGCTACTGGGTCCTTGTATTGAATGAGCAGACGTGTATGTTGTATAAATCATTCGATTCACTGCACCACTGAGCTAAGAAGCATATTCACCAGAATTCTACCTAATGCATTTGATGTTCTATCCACTGTCACGCTTTAATCCATATTTTTTATTATTCAAACCAAAAATCTGTATTACCTGAAGAATATGAGGATGCCAAGCGCCAACACCAAAGCCACCAGCGATAAGGAATAGCCCACAGTGTACATGACCCGGATATGGCCATAGTACTGCTGTAAATGAAAAGGCAAACAAACACATAGACTTTGGATTTGTTTCTTTTATTTCAGAACGGAAGTTGCAGTTTTAGTGGTAACATTGAATCTAATATTTGATCTTTAAATGATTTAATGGGAAATACATTGTATATATATTCATATTATCATTACTTTTCTGTAGACAATAACTAACACTGGAGAGTTATTTCCTACCAGACTTGGATCATTAGAGTCACACTCGCTGGTGTTCTTCATTGTCACCCACTGGCCGTTGGCGTCACACTCCTGATACACCATGCCGTGTTGAACTGCACACAGACACACGCAGGTTTCAAGTCCCGTCATTTTGGATACTTCAAAGTGCACCTGCAGCAACGATGCAGTGCAGCGTTTACCTGCTGGCCGTCGAGTCTCTTACCTTTATTGTACCACGGCAGATACCAAGGACATGACACACTGACGGTGGTGTTCGGGAGTCCATCGGGCCAACAGGCGTACTTGTCAAACTCCCGCTCGCACACGAGGCCTGGGAATAAAATAATAATAATAATAAACCTTGAAATATGGGCCATTTTTTTCATCCAATCAAAGCAGTTTGTCTCTGTCGATGGCCTCGAGATCGTCGTGGAATAATATCTTTGAAGTGAGGGCCAACATCTGTACACATCGTGGTCTTTCATCAGTCCTCCATCAATCACATGACCTCCTGCTTTAACACACTCCTCATCTTTTCATCACAGACAACTAGCGCATGTAAAGGTGGATGTTCAGCTCCTGCTAATTCACCGTTGCCATAATGGGATGACTGGACTGGTGTATCGGGGTGAACGGGGACGTGTCGTGTGATTTTATGCGATTCCACGACCTCACAGGTTGTAACTGAAGGGCGTGCAGTTGAATGCTGCTGATGGGGGGGGAGCTGGAGCCAGAAAGCAGAGAACGTCGGGCAGCAAATAGAAGCAGGGGAAGCAAATTGTCCCGGGACAGTGCAACCAAACTATTACCAGCTGCTCGGCATAAGATAACAATCAGTTCATGCAGGTTTTAACGTAAAACATGAGCGCCAGCATTTCTAGCTCACCGCTGCTTGGCGGGTCTCGACTGTTGTTGCGGTCACACTCCTCCATGTACAACTTCCAACTCTCCTTCAGCTTATCCAGAGAAGCAGCAGGAGACACCTAAGGAGACGGTGGTGCGACAAAACCGTCCAGTTACACAAAGGGCACTTGTTATTGCGTATTAATTCAGTGTTCTCACACACAAACCATGAAGACAAAGCAGGTGCACTAAGGGAATTTACAATCATTTGTTTCACGTCACTTCATATATACAGTAGCTGTAAACATCCCATTCTAAAAGTGTCCCACTCTAATGCGTTGTGGTCATTTATGGAGGGGCTGATCACTACACTGTAATACTGGTGTGATTAACATCGACAAGGACAGAGTGTTTGTTTAGGCTTCCACACTACAACTCTGTGGCATGTTTGAGAAAGGCCGCGGAGCTAAAGCAACAACACCCACCCCCGCGCAGCAAAGGCCAATGACTAATGGCAGCACCCGGACTGACGTGGGGGCCGTTTATCTCTGGGATAAATCGGCCTGTGTGTGCTGACTTACCTCAATGCTGCAGGAGACAATGAGCAGTGCCGAAAAGAGAAACAGCCGTGACATCCCTTGTTCCTGCTGTCGGTGCTGGGAGGGGATACTGCAGGACGGGGAAGGGTTTTCACCTCATAAGGGGGGTGGGGGGAGGGGTTATCTACGCTCGCCACACTGCCTGGATGACACAGAGACGTGCAGTCAAAGTTCATACACACCACTTATTAACTTGGCTGCAATGAAACAAGAGGAACAAAATTGGGAAGGTTTGGGTCATGATTACAACAATATTTGAGGGCCGAAGTGGACTCTGAACTAGTACCAGAACATCAAACACGTGGCGAAAATGGCGTTTGTCCCATCAATAAGACAGCTGTGGCTCCCATGCAGGAAGTCACAGTCGGCTGCTGTCCACCTTCATCGTAACGGCCGCCAGAGTTTGATTGAGCGAGTGTCGGCGTGTGCCAGAGGTCACTCACCTGCGTATCGACCGATGCCTCAAACTCCCCCCCGAGAGATTTAGTTTGAAGCCGGAGAACGGAAGGAAATCTGAAACGTTTCTGCAAAAAACACCTTGACCATAGAAACATTTTTGGCTAAAACGTTTCAAATTCCATTCTGTTCTAGTCTCGTGGCAGCGAGGGGAGAAGGGGGGGGGGGGGGTCAATGAGTTTGTCATTTGTTTTTACTAGACGTATTGCTCAAGTGACAAGAGTACAATGTGTCATGACAGATGGACGGTGTGTCAAACAGTGTATTAAACAAAGCCTCGGTTCAGTTCTTCAGCATTCTGACTGAATGTCATCTTCCAGTCACAATGTAAATATCCCTCCTATATATTACAAAGCTCTACTGGGATGCACACTTTAGATATTATCCAATTCAGAGAGCCATACTTTCTAAATGAATGACCACAGGACGCAGTCAGCGTTAGCTCCTAGTACAGACTGAAGGATTTCCCCGGGGCGCCTCGTGGATCAGAGCTACTCTTGTCTGGTCTGTCATCAGGTCAGCACCTGTCCAGCTGAGGTTACAGCACTGTCGCTTTGCCCTTAACAAAATCCGACGTGTTGAGGTCACAACAACAGTCTCAAATGCCATCACACCTAACGTACGAGTTTTACACCAACTGGAGCGGCTGGAAACAAAGACGCATCTCTGCTATGAGATGTCGGCTTGGATTTGTAAACTCCAACATCCACTAATGCTCATTATTAACCCTAATGTCATTTTTAAAAAGGTAGGCATGTGTTGAGGCTGACAGACATGTGGCGGTATCACGGTTCTCCGTGGGTTTGCCTCCTCTTGCTCGCTCTCTCGCTCTCTCTCTTCCCCTTACAACATCTGGAGGCTAATTTCCCAACAAAACAGTCTGCACCACTTTCTGCAGCGTTGCAGCAAGTAGGAGGAATGATTAACTAAACTCAGTCCCTAACCCTAAAAAGAGAGAGGTTATTTCAAAATAAGAGTGCAAGGCAGAGAAAAAAAAAAAACCTTAGTATGTCCGTAAAGTTATAGCTGTGGACATTTACCACAATGGTAAAGTCTTAACCATGGTTTATTTTTATATAAAAGTCTCTTTAAGTGAAGCACTGCTACAATTAGCTGACAGTCCGATTTAAGACCCGTCTGTATTCTCACTCCTTGGCCCACTTATCAGCATCCTACGAATATTCACGTCTTGCACAACACGTGTGGAAGTTTTCTGCTTTGATTCATTCATGTATTTGCATAGTTTTAGATGCCCCAAGGCTGAACACAAAGTGAGTCTTTTCCTGATGTGAACGTGGCAAAAGAAAACAACAAAAGAGGCAGAACATAAGAGGATTTTATAAAGGTACCCCCCCCCTTCCGCCCCCCGAGGACATAGGCTCATAAATCTCTTGAGCGTAATCTGTGCAGATTTGTCACATACTTGTCACCTTGCATGCGGTTCATGCAAGACGATGGGAAGCACGTCACCCATTCGCTGGGGGCTGGGGGGGGGGGGGGTGTCTGGGGTATCCTGTGTAGACTTTCGTGTCTTTTATTTTTTTCACAGTCGGATCAGCGGTTTGAGATGCAAAACTGGCGTTTGATTTACGAAAAGATGCTTACAAGCAACCCGATTAGCCGTGCTAAAAACAAGCTACATTGAATTTTGCATCTCTTACTCTCCACACGGGCCGTTTAACATTGCATGCAAGCAGAACCCTTCCCAAACGCGGTACTTCTCTGAGTAGAGGCGGGACCACAAATGGAAACCCAGAGCGCTTTCATTACCAAAATCCTTCAATATGCAGAATCTTTTCAGTGGGATTATAGCTGGAGTGGAACTAAAGGGCCTGAAGGTGTGAGGCCACTTGAGCGCGTATATCCTGCGTTGTGCCACGAGGGTCGACACCGCTGGGCTCCCGCTGAGCTGTGAATTGCTCTTCCCGCCGTAGATCCGGACATATTAAAGTCTCTTCTCCAACGTTAGCTCTCTGTTCCAGGGTTTACTATTGTTACCCATGTGATTTAAGAGGTGGAAGCTGAGGGCTGGATGGAGGAGCCGGAGGGAATTTCCAGGCAGTTTAACTATTTTTCCTTTGATGTCTTTTGAAGCCCAAATGTTTTACCTCTTCGTGGGGATGTGTGAAAAATTGAAACTGAAATACTAAATGCCCATTGCTCCCATTAATTCCAAGGACAGACCGTGATTCGTTTGATTAGCGCCTCGCTGTTTATTTCTATTTGGGCACAAAAAAAAAACAAGTGACGATTTCAAACGAATGACGCAAATTCTCTGAATGTCCCAAACAACAAACTGCTCTTTGTTCAAGTGCACAACGGATGGCTCAATACAATGGGCATGAACAATTACTGCTGTTTGGTCCAGAGTACTTACCTATCATTTGATTTCACTGTCTGACAAATAGAATTACAATAGGAGAGGATGCGTGCATGATTTCGGTTTGAAGGGGAGCAGCAAGGATTAACAACAAACCTCTTGGAAAACACAATTACCGGCCAGTTCACAAAATGTCCCCAAGCAGCAATTGACCATGCAGCCTTCCCTGATGCAGAGGTGCTAGTGACAGTGAGGAAAAAATCCTGCCGCATCACCCATCTTACACAACTGCCCTCTCCTTTAACGAGGCCTCCGTGCATTTATTCTCACAGCATTCACTCATCTAACTTTGTTTGTGGAATTTGTAGAGAGAGTTCGACCGAACAGATGAAGCCCGACTCCAAAAGGGCTTTCTGTATTGTTCCCGCTTCCCTTCCTTTGACTTAATAAGCCACTCGTACCTCAGGGCTGCAGATGTTACACTGAGCAGAAACAGTGCTGAGTGAGCGGCTCACTATCTGGTAACAAGGTGAAGCAAAGTTCAGAGGAGGACGATCATCGTGCTGTTATATGTTCTGCCATTTGGGTGCTGCGGGGAAGAGGGTGCACTACTCGGACTGGATAGCACTCTAATCCATTTCTGTGTTAAATGATCAACTTCAGCTATTTGCCCGTAAAAGTAAAGGATAATGTTATGTGCTGAAAACTCACTTTGGTCCTGACTCAGTCTCGGTTTCTCTCTCTTTCTGTGAGATGTTTCAGATTGAATCCGAATGGATCAACAATACTTTGCATTTCAGCGTTTTTTTGTTTGTTTTTCCACTTTTACTTCAGAAAGCTGCATCGTAGTGGTAAGATATACCTCACGTCTCAAGTCTACATAATCCAGGTCGTAACTGGGATTGATGTTCCATGATAAAATATTTTCTTCGTAACCATGTAACCGCATGCTCACCATGCCAGTAGCCTTATTTGGTCCTTTGGTCCTGTATGATGGATTCAATCGTCCAGTCGGTAAACGCCTCACTCAGCTGAATAGTGTTTTGAAAATGCTCGTTGTTCTCCTTTTAGGTGTTTGCTAAAGTGTTCCTTACTTTGCTAATTGATTCTTTGACTGGACCGAGTTGTTTGTACATGCATGCGTTCTGGACGTGTGCTCAAAAGTCAAAGGGATATTGTACCATATATGTAAAAGATGAATGTTGTAGGAGGAAGTTTGTTGAAGCATCAACACTTATCATTCGATTATGCAAACACTCAAATAGATGTTCTTAAAATATGCAAAGTGTTTTCAAGGATGTCACCAGAAGAATCTTCATGGTTTTCAGTTATTTCAATGTCCAAAACGATACTAAAACGATCCAAAAAGTACTCTATGAAATAATACGATTTGTACAAACACAGTGATTCACTAATTGTTAGTAGACCACGTGAGAAAAAACAACGTTAAGCACAAAAGCGCACATGGTTTCTCCCGCCGTGTGTGGCTGACCTCTGACCTGCTCGAAACGTCTGTCACTGACCCCGTTTGAATGTGGAGCAGCCCAGTGTGACTCATCTGCGTCCGGCAGCTGGATGCGCCGAGCCTCTTCTGCGCGCTGGCTCACGTATTCGGCCCGTCGGATACGTGTGGGCGGTGGAAAATGACAGATGATTGTATAACATTTGAGATGTAAGATGTACCTGTACAGTGGGAGTGTGTCCGGGGCTTTTCTTTGTTGTGCATGCATGCGGTAGGTGTTGGACGCGGGTTTCATACACTCTTTGATGAGGTGTGTTGGACCTTTTGATCTGTGCCTGCTGTGAAGAAACAACAGCCCTACAGGGAGCCTTTGACTATCTGTTACCATGTTTACCATCCTGCTCTGTTTGTACAGTTTCATACAGAGTTGCGCGGATCCCAGATTTACTTGCAGTAATCGTCACTGGCAGAGAAAGGAGCCCACATTAGAGTTTTAAGGTTTAGGGTTAAAGAAACGGTTTGTCCTGAAGATAATTTGGCTGCTATAAGCGTTTTGCAGATACATTGCCGTAGAGACTAGCTGTTGAAAATAAGACTGAGGTAGTTTAGCCGGTGAGATCTAACAATGCAGTACTTGGTGGTGGCAAGTGATGTGATAAAATTATGTGACTCAGGATCCATTTTCGCAGCGGACACGTGAATAAAGACATCCACGCGATTGCGTCACGGTCAGGGATAATCACTTGGGATAAACGGTGAGAACGATTATGTCTACTTATGTACGGACGTGAGGGGAGGCTTTTATCGACGAGACAAAAATGGCACTAATGGGCAAACTGATTGATGGATGATAAGGTTGCAAAAGCATTAAATGCAATGTCTTCATCCTGTTGCTACTCTCTCA